AAAGTATTTTTTGCTACAGTTCCAGCTCGCCAACTTGCGAACACACTTCGTTTGATGTATTACCATCGATTATTGTTTCTATGCATCGAGAGTTCATGATGAGCTCATAGAATCATAGATTTGGATTGTATTTCTCATTAGATTTCAATGAACCAATCATCAACTCTGCTTTGCTCAGGCAAAATAGGAAGCTGACGGCTACCTCATTGCCTTCTTCTGTAAGAAATCATGATGATGATGAACACATGCAACGGCTTTGAAAACGAGTGGTAATCATTATTATCATAATGGCTTTTTACAAAACAAGGCAATGAGGTAGCCGTCAGCTTCCTATTTTGCCTGAGCAAAGCAGAGTCGATGATTGGTTCATTGAAATCTAATGAAAAACATGAGTGGTATTCGTAGCAGAGAATTTTGTGTCATTGGTACACAACCAACCCATGGCCGCATTTAGGGAGTATCACCTGTTAGACAAGTTGTCCTTAGACCAAATGTCCTTAGACCACTTGTCCATTAGACAAGCTGTCTTTAGACGAATTGGCCGGACACCCTGCCCCGCCACCCCACTCCCCCTCTTAACTTTCACTTGGCGTTAAGCGTACCAAAATCAATATAGTGTCTTCCCTTAGAAATGGTTGTGTAGCAACGAATTCTGGCCACTATTGGCCGGCAGCGAAACCGTCAAGAAGGTTCTGGTCTTCGACGGCAAGAAGAAAACGGCTCACAAACAGCCAAGAGTGTGCGCGACCTTCAAAGAGTTCGAGCGCTATTGCTCTCAGGCTATTACCCTCGGGCCATGGCGCACGTTGCCCCCACATCCCAGCGATTCAGGCAGCCAGGCCGCACGCCTAGACCGCCATGTGAGGCACGAAATACCCACACACAGTTCTTGTTGCAGCTGCCATGCTGAAGTCAACAATGCATCGTCCCCCTAAGGCGCTCTTCGCACCCGCCATACATATACCCCCACAAGGCTTTCGATATCTCCCACAATACCCCTTTCTGGGAAATGTATTATGATTCCCCAGAATCTCCCTGTCATCATCAACATCATCGTCATCATTATTTTTACAGAACAAGGCAACGAGGTAACCAACAGCTTCTACTTTGCCCGAGCAAAGCAGAGTCTGTGATCAGTTGGTTTAAATCTAAAGTTAAATACAATCAGTGTCACATCAACGTTTCGCAGCAATTTAACGCAGCGCACCCCACGTCACTCGGTCAACAGCCACTGAGTGCCCCGCGGGTCATATTCCCATCACACAACCACGTGGCACCTCCAGGCGCCCCCCCTGTTTCCGCCCCATCGTGCTCTGCGGCAGACCGCCAAAGGGGCAGCCCCACACAGGTTGGCCAAATTGTGGTCAAAGCAACGTCTATTGATACATTTCCCCAAGCAAGCACTACTAGAAAACATCTCTCAATGGATGAGGATGACACAATCATGCAGAATTGACTTGCAGTCGATTGATGCTTTCAAATTCAAATTTGGGTCAACCTTCACAACATTAATTTTCTGAATGCATGCACCCCAGATTGATAATTTTGGGGCCTTTCCACCTCATTGTGCACCAGCCCACCGAATGGTGTTGGTGTGATGAAGGTGCTGAGGCTGTCGACACCCCTTTTCCCCACTTCTGGACGTCACGGGTCGCCCATCGAGTAATATCATTACTATACAAAATTCTCTGATGATTTCCATTGTTGGCGACCCAAACACCAACGTTATTCACACGCTACATGTGCATGCAACGGACACAGCTTGCCTAACGTCAAAATTTCTAGCCAGGTCTAGGCTCCCTGGAAGTTATCAGCCAAACACTGGCCTGCAAACTGTGCAGCACAATTTTGCAACATTTCTAAGTATCATCGCCATAAAATAAAACAGGCTGAAATACAAGTCATATACAATATCCGATTCGATTCCTATTGCTGTGGTACAATAAAGGGAAGCAGAAAAACGAAACTAGCGGCCTTAGCCACAATCACTATAATTAGAACTTTCATAACTTTCCATCTCTCCTCCGTCGAGAATCGAGTCGAGATCGTCCGAATCTGAGTGGCTTACAGGCATGTCCTGGCGGAATTCTCTATTCTTCGTTTTCGAAGAATTGGACCCAGTGCATCCAATAGTCGAAGCTTCACCTGGCTGGACAATGGCCTGCGGATCGGGAGCTTGAAGCTTTTCCAGGGATTGCTTCACGGCGCGGATGGCCTTCAGGGTCTTCCTGATGTAATCAACAACAAAAATGTCCTTGAAGATATCTATGCAGAGCATCGCGTTGCCGCATAATACGGCAGAACACGGAAAACAATGATTGAACTGAAAAGATTGCAACGACACGAAAACCCAACGAAATGTCGGCGGCGACTTTGCGTAGGCTCATACGGCATTAAAAACGAAGATAAAGCCTTCATGCTTTGTACCAACAATTTTGACACTTCGCCATCACTAGCAGTGCCAGTTTTGCCAGCAAGTGTGTTCCATACGATTAGCGCCATTTACCGTTGCAATGCTCTTTGCATTATGGGGGACGATTTTGAGCAGTTTATGTTGACAACATAAGCTATGTCTAAAAATATATGAACGCGCTACAGAAAGTGAGACGAATGAAGGGATAAAACCATTGGTGTTGCGCATTCAGTACCATTCACCAGACCACATAGAAGCGCCAAAGGCGCAATATATTCCGCCCTTCCAATGTGTCAACATATTAGAACTACAATCCTCTAAATGGGGCCAATCTAATGCACCTAAAATTACATATGGCAGGGTGTGCGCTCGCGAGAATTCTGGGTGTGCAACTTCCAAAATGCTGCCGTTTCTGAGTGGTGAGTCTTCCACCATACCTCCGAATGCTGATGACGGACAGTCTTCTCGACTGTCCCTGTGAAATATCCATTTACTGTTGAAGAAAATAGCACTCTGATTTTATTGAGTTCAGAGCTCAGTACACCCCAGGGAAGCGCATTTTGTCCACTATGTTATGTTTAGCATCAAAATGAACTGGCTTTCAGGGAAAGAAAGAGGGAGAGGTGGGTTAAGGGGACGATAAGAAATTTCGTAATTGCAGCAGAATCGACGCAAGGTATAACCTTGCACAAGCCGCTGCTGATTAGCAGCAAGCAATCTATGGAGTGCTCAATGCCTTGCCTCAAGCATTCAAGCTGCAGGAAAGCCCAAAACGTCTCTATGCACATCTTCCATCCCCTGCCATCGCTCCAAACATTCCATTCTGCAACACTCTACAAGTGCAAACCTCTTTGTTTGCCTTCCTTCTGGATCCATTCCCCTTCCAAAAAATGCCTCAACGCTCCCTCTTCTGAGCTCAAACGTTGTGTCACAATATTAGGCACGTTGCTGTGCCGTGCAGGAATTAGCACGGGGACTGACGCAAAGAAAGGGACAGTGAGGATGGGATCTTTTTGCAACAAAAAAGCATGCGAAACAAAGGGCAGCACACCTCCTGAGGTAATCTGTGGGAGATTCTGTTACGGCTTGTGAAGAGATGATTGTGAATCTCCCAAGAGAGTGGGGTCCAAGCCCAGCATCATGTTGACAAGCTCAACGTCATCGGCCCAACGCGTCCCTGAGAATTCACGTTACTGTGCCAAAATTATGTGCCGTAGCTTTTAAAACACTTCCACAGTGATAAATTTTACCGTTATGCCTTTGCCCCGCAGTTTTTTCAGAGCGTTATTTCTTATTTTTGCGTTGCTGCGCAAGATTTCGTTCAAAAAGCGGTATTTGTTTCATTGTTTTCTCCGCAAGAGAAGGCCGAGAGTGACGCTACTGTGCGGAAGGGTTTGAACACCTGCGGTGATGCAACAACAGAATGGAGCTGGCCTTTGCGGCCATGTGCAAAGGACCCGCGCACACGCTGCACGCTCCATGCTTCATGATGCCCGAGACTGCGCCCATACAAGACACGGTGGTGCTGGTGGGCTCGTGCCATTGGCTGCTTGGTGCCATTGGCTGCTTGGTGCCTTGGCGGGTTGCAGTTCAAGGGCCAGGGCGGCGATCAGGATTTGCATCATGCCGGTGGCTTCGAGGACAACGCGTTGAGGGGAACAGACGGCGGCGGCTGGTGCGAGCCTTTCGCAGGTAATCAATAGAGCCCTGTGTTGAAGAGCGCACGGAATGGCATGGAGTGCGCACTGTGGAGAGAATGCGGAAGGTGGGGGCGCGGGCTGCAATGTACAATTGCGCGAATCTCGTTCGGGCGACTGGGCTTTGACGGGTGTCGGTCGCGGAGTAGTGTACCTGCCCTTAAGTACTGACAGGGCATTGCACTCAGTATTGGCGTGGAGGGTTCTGGGGGAGGGGCTCTGAACCTACCCGTCAAACACAAAGCCTTGCTAGAACTAAAATAATGCATTCCCTTACAACCACGACACCGTTCGGCTATTTGGGTTGGTCATGAACTGTGTTTCGTGAAAGGATACATGTGTTCATTTCCCAAGTTGTCTTGTATTCTGGCTGGTTTGGTTTTCTCTTCCTGATTGTGACAATATTTCTCGTGGGCACCCATACCATCTGTTGGAATGTGACCACAGTTGACAGTGCAAACATCTTATCCTGTCACAAAAGGGCTGAATCGAACAAAGTAGCACAAGCAAACGCTGCGAATGGACTGATACGCATCATCGCCTTGTAGGTGCAAGTGCTGTGGTTTGTCTTTGTTAAGGCATGCGAAGCCAAGTGTATTGGATAGAGAGGGACCCACCTGGCAAACCGTTGAGCTTCCGATCTTGGCTTCTCCATCATCGTGCCGCACCTGGGAGTTAGGACATGGAGGTACCGCTTTATCTTCTTCCTGTTCGCTCACACAGCAGAAGGCGCATTAGTTAAGGTGCCAGGATGTTGATTTTGACTTGAAAGAAGCAAAGAAGAACTTTTTGTCATCGACTGTGTCAGGGGCTGCGAACAGGACATTGTGTGCTATGTGGCCTTATGAAATGTGTCTGCTCAGCCCAAACCTAAGTTTGCAGCAATTCAAATGAGTGTAAGCAAACCACCCGTTGTCCACAAATTTTACAGTGACCTCAAAAATTTTCCATTCTACATTGAAATTATAAGTTTAAACTTTGTCCACATTCGCCTGGATATGAGCATCGATATCCAATCAACTCACGATATTTCCCTCTGCCTCTCCGTTGACAACATGCTCTCGATATCATCAATGGCTGTGGCACGTGCAAGAAGGAACTGTTCCTTCTCTGTCTCCTTGATCTCAGTAAATGAATTACCTGAAGAGCATGCAGTTGTGGATGGTCAATGGTTCCTGGCAGTACTCATGTGCAAGCAAGAATAATCCTTGGGATGCCTATCAGTCCTGGGCGTCACCTCTAATTTAAATGCAAACCATGTGCGTATAACATACAGTGGATATGAACTGTCAGAACGGAAGCTTTGGCAGCACGTCCGGATACCACATGTATATGAAAGATGGATAGCAACATCTCTTCGTGTTGTGTTGACTTCAATGTCAATATATTAGACACAATCCACGTTGCACACAGTCTACGTTAAAGTACTGCAAACACATAAAATATGGGAATGCATCTGCTTGAGCCCATATTTGATCCAGTTTCATACCTTGTGGACCCTCTTTAGCAGGTGCCACATTTTGAATTGTGGTCACAGTGATCTCCTGTTTATTCTCAAATGCAGTTCAGAATAGGTTCGCAACTTGGCAAACGTTGAAATTTTTTCATTGTCTGCCCAAGAGTTATTGATTACTGAAAAGAACATAAGGGCAGGCATGCATTGCAGGGGCATTGTGGACAGAAACATACCATATGTGCACTGTAACCTGTGTCTGCATGAGTAAATATTGATAAAATCCACAAGTGTGATGCCCCACTATCCTATTGGAGTGACAGCTACTGTCATGACCCTGGCCGTCAAGATGGCTCGATGTGACACTGTGGGATTCCACATGAGGATAATGCAGGATGTTTAACCTCCATGGAAGTCTTTTCATGTTAGGCCAAAGTTCATGCGCAAAATCACATCCAAAAGGTCTGAAAATGGTGACGTAATTTGTCAATTAGTGTCAGGTATGGTATGTGTTACAATTGCTTACACTTTACAACAGGGACAATTTCTCTTTTGGGGCAGGCTGTAGTGGATGATTACATGTCCTCCCTGGCAGCTGCTGCCACTGCCCCTCTGTTCCCCCTCCCACTGCACCCTGTGTTTGTGCATTTAGTGACCATGTTTCCAAAGTGAAACAATATTTGTTGATTGTTGTTGTCCTTGACGTCCACACGACACCTGGGCAGCCAGTTGGGAGGCCTATTTGCCCCCAGTCACAATGACCATGAGTGCCCAGTCACCTGCAATACTTGGCATGCCTGCCAGAGTCATTAGTGCCCAAACAGCATCATGCTTGTCACATTGGACTGTGTGACTGAATATGCTCAACAGCCACACCCAGCCCAATTCTCAGCAACTCAAAGAATTCTACCACACAATGACAGTGGAAAAGAACTCAACAGTTCAGCCAACTTGCAGCGAGCCGGTACATTTGATGAACTTTGTTCACTGGCTTGCTCTTTGACTGTGCCAGTGCAGCAAAATGGCCACTTTTGCATGTGTGCAATATGGTGTAAAATCTCTTAGAGTATATAATATGAATAAAGAAGCAATATCACTGACAACTGAGGAATACCAACAATACAATTTCGACTTGAGGGTTTTCTTGTTTCAGGACAATTAGGAGCACATTCAGAGCGCTCCAGCAAACCCTCTGATGGCCTGGCCCCACACTGTCTCAGATATTGTACAGCTTTGATTGGGGCGATCCAGATTTGTGCATTGTGCCTAATGGGAAATGGTTTCCCACGCTAAATGCATGAAGAATCAAAATGGCTAGGAATTATTGTGTGCAACAAAATAGGTAGGAACAAGGAGTTCACTGACACACCCACTATCACCCTTGATCGAGCTGTGAGGGCAGGGTAGGCACTTGGTGATCTATGGCAGCCACAGTGAACAAGAAGATTGAAACAAATGCGCTTCAGAGGTACGTTCCCCATGCCAATGAAAAGTTGAGGCAGAGAAGTTCCCAAACACTGTTGAAAAGTTCGACCTGCTTGAATGCAAAAAATAAGAAAACTGAATTGCCAATTTACAGTTTGCATCAATTTCACAGTAATACACAGCGAAACAAGAAACTTGTTGAATTTGCATTGCTTGGTCGGTGCCTTACCCATTATGGCGATGAGCAAGTTGAGGAGGATGACCAAGAGGGTAATCATGTACAGAATGTACAGTGTGAGAGCAACACCCGAGTACCGCGGCACTTCCATAACCTCCAGATCAAAGTCTCCAAGCATCGTTGCATACAGGGTGAGCAGGGATTTCCCCAGGGATCCGAACATGTCGTCTGCTTTTTCAGCCAATTCATCTCCATCGGACATTTCATCTCTCTCGTCCAGCCCAACACTGCCAAGTGCCATGTCCGATTTGTCAATTTGCTCTTGATGGTTGTGACGAAAGATGATGAAGAAGGCGAGTGAGAAGCCGAACATGACGGAAAATGCCAACACCAGGAAGAACCGGATGTCTCGCACGATCGTACGGACCATAATGACCATAGGCGCTGTGGGCTCAAAGACCTGGAGGAAGAACAGCACCTTCCACCACAGGAGGATGACTTCAACAGCTACGAGCACTGAGAGCAGGTCGCTGTGGACAACATTGTCGGACAGCAGGTGCATGGCTGGTATAATGCTCACCAGCAGCAAATAGCTCGTCAACTCTATCCAGTTCCAGTGCGAGGTCATCCAATACAACATGCCCCTGATGCTGTTGTCAATGGTGAATGTCACCAGCTGTTGAACCTCCCGGATCAGGTTCATGAAGGCCAGTGCCATGGATAGGAACAGGAAAACGAGGGTTGCAGTCTTGTAATTGCTGCTGATGTCACTTGAGTTCGTCAAGTCCATTGTTTGGCTTCCAAAATTGCCCAGGTTGCCAAGAAGGACAGCGTATGCCGTAAATAAGATGAGCAGGGCACTGTAGTGGTAGACCTCCTCCAGGAACAGCTCGCCTGCATACGTTTCCCACTTGTATGCGATCACGCACTGGATGGGGATCAGAGCAAACAGCCTGGGTGGAACATTCGACACCAGCAGGCCTCTCAAAATGCCCCTCTTGCCAATCTGAGCAATATCCTTGATGGGAATCACCTTGGGCTTCCATGCCATCGAATTGCCCCTTGCCAAACTTCGCTTGATCATGGCCTGGAGGCTGGTATCGCGAAACTTTTTCAACTTCGGATCCCAAATCTCCTCCATGATGCTGTCCTCATCTTGGGCATGCTCTGAAGCTGTACCTTTGCCCCGCTCTTTTCGCTTGATCAAGTGATCATCTGAAACGACGTGAAACATGCCTGTCCATGAGGTGCGTCCCAGCAGCCAACTCTCTGGGCGCCTGATCGCTCTATGGCAGCACTTATACATGAAGCGCCGATCCTTCAGCAGCCGCTCAAAGGCGTTGGGATAAATTTTTGCCAGCTTGACAAGGGAATCTTGGTAAATCTGGGATGTGGCATAAATGTTCGTCTGACCCTCCAATACAGCCTTCAGGAGTACCCATACCACTTCAGGACGCCGTTCCTTCACTGCCAGGGACAGAGCGTTCCGGACATTCCTATATTTACCCCCAAAAGGTGGAAAGCAGAACTGGACCTTAGTGTTCTTCTCTTTTCTTGACTGGTCCAACATTGTTTCCAGGGTTTCTGCTGTGATCTTGAGGTCATGGATGCAACAAGCCAATGCTGATAGGCCCTTGCCATCTGGGCAGCAGAGGACCTGTGGCTGATCCTTGTGCTGCAGTATCCCGTCATCTCCTTCGTCAGGCACAAGGTCAATTTTGTGGTCAAGAGCCAATATACAAGTCTGCCTTCTCCCTACCAACGCCAGTAAGTTGGCTGTCTTGGCAAAAACAAGGTAAAATCTACCATCCAGAGGCATGTCCTGCTGATTTGCAATCCTAAACTTCACAAGCTCAGAGTTCACCTCAGCATCCCACACATAGCCAACATTTGTTTTTTGGCAATAGCATGCCAGCCACCGTCGATCCTGAGACATTGCAATTGGGCGAAGCCCCTGAAATGGCATTTCCAGCCAACTTCGTCTCTCCCTTCCCTTGCATCCAAGTATGGGGCCTTTGAATTTGATGTCGCTGCCCACAGAGTGCATTTTCTCACCGATCAGAGCATCCCACACTGTGAGGTTCAATACGCCGTTGTGCACAGTGCAGGTGACCAGGATATCTGCTGAGAGGAATTTGCACCAGTCTGGTCTGCAGGACAGCTCTGCCGGTGGATACCACTTTTGCTGATGCAGGCCTGGGCTATTCTCGTTGGTATTGCATCCCTTGCCTCCATCAGCTCCTGGCATGCATTCTGTGGCCCTTGCCAACTCCATGACATCCCAGACATGCACATGTCGAAAAGCTCCCCTACTGACTGACGCCGATGTGTTCCACGTTGCCAATAGAGAAGAGTCTGCAGACCAACAAGACAGAGCAACGCCGGGCAGTTCATACATCACTTCTGGTTCGAGCTTGTAGTCAGGCCAGACAACCACCATGCAGTGGTCGCAGTGTTCCACACCCACTCCCTTTGCACTCCCTTTGTTCACAATCCCTGCACTTGCACTTCCTGCATTTTCGCTCCTGCCATCACCACAGTCTCCCTTCCCATGTTTTGGAAATGGCATATCGCAGGAAATGCCCACTGTCAGCCCATTTCCGGAAGGAGAAAAGCAAGCATGGGAAACGTTGTAATTCCTATCACAGGATATCCTGGACCGCAACTGGATTCGATGGAGGCCATGGAAGCCACCGCACGTCACTAAAGTGTCACATACGACGAATATCAAGATTTTCAAGCTTCCATCCTGTGCCTCCTCCGTCCTCGACACAACCAGCAGTCGAGTCCCATCGTTGGAGAATGTGGCAACTTCAACAGGACCCAAACTCTCCCTGATTCTGAGGAGTTTGGGTTCCCATGACCGTTTTCCTGTTTGCCTTCCTACCCTGTTCTTGGTTTTGGTCCACATGATGCACTTCCCGCATCCATCCACGGACAGAGCGGTCTGCTTGTGGTCATTGAAAATGAAGCAGTCGATCACAGGCGGCGTTGGGCCACCTGCCATTGGGCAATCGCTCAGATGCACATCCCAGAAAAGGCAACTCCCACTCTGCACATTCCAGGCCATGACGTGGCCATCGGCTGTGCCCTGGATCAGTCGGCTGCCGTCCAGCGAAAACCGACAGCAGGTTACTTCAGAATGCTCTAGGCCCCGCGGCAGAGCATGGCTGCTACTCCTGACAGGATGGGCACTTTTCTTCCATGTTGGATTGTCAGTTGCTGCAATCGAACAGTCCCCAAGCAGCTCCAAGAAAGGCTGAGTATCTGGGCCTGCGTTGTTTGGGCAATCCTCATTTAATGTGCAGACTGGCCTTCCCGGTTCCCCGCTCATTCCACCAGCGAGGTGCGCTGGTCCATCAGCACGAGCACACTTGTCTGTGGGCGCAAGTGTGCTTTGGGGCACATTGCAGGATTTCGTCATCAGCCATGCCTCCGCACTGTCAGGGACCCTCATGATGCAGTACCGCAGTTGGCGCTGCAAAGTGTCCTTGGAAGCATCGACGCCATTTTTGGCCATCTCCCAATCACTAACATCGACTGTGGAGGCACTGAGGGAGTCCTTTCCTTTTTTTTCGGTTCCTGTGGCAAAGGGGTTTGACTTTATTAATAACAAGACATCAAGGTGGACTGCAGCGAAATTGGTACTGTCAAGAAGTCGATTTCGACAACGTTTAGGGATAATCGAGATAAAATTTGCCATGAACCCTATGATTATTTGCTGGTTTATTGAGATAAAATTTGACGTAAGTCTTATTATTATTTACCGCAGGTGATACTATTTGTCGATGTTGGCATAATCGAGAACCAAGAGCGTTGTTGAACTTAGGATTTGGAGAAGCTAGTTCCAGGCGCACGTCATATTTAGACTAATAAAGTTTGTTTTCGTCATGCCCAAATAGTGGCACGTGCTGCCCACTGAGTTTTGTTTACAAATTGACCTGGATAAACTTGCTTTGTTTGGGAGGTCCAAACTCAGCAACAAGATACTTTCTTGCTGCATCAACGGCTAAGAAACTTTGCTTCTAACTCTTCACAGAAACAGTGAAAATAGCAATGGTGTATGAGACAGTAACAATAAAATAGAATCTATTGTTCAATATAATTGATGCTGTTCTACGTACTCCTGCTATTATTACTAAAGTAACAATAGGAAAAATAGTAATAATAATAACAGCAATGATGATAGCTATTTAATACTACAACATCTTTTCATATTACCATAACTATTGTTATTATTATTACCAATATTCTACAATGTGTAGAATGCATAATATACTTCCACTATCCCACACCATATGTCGTCTATTTGAAAGACAAATATAGTTACAAAACTGCATTTAAAATTACAAAAAGAGGGCATAACGGGAAAAATTGATTCTCCAAGTTCTTATTTACAAATTTTCGAGATGAAAAGGGAGATCCGGCACCTTTGTGCGCTGAACGAAAGGTAAATTTTGGTCACTTCTTCAGCGGAAAACTCTCGTTTTACCAGTTAGGAATCCTTGCTACAAATTAATGCCACATCCGCAATTCAGCACATATTGGCTTGACTTTTCCATTGCATACTTTCAAACCATAAGCTTGGTTTTGTAATGGAGAAACAATGCGCCAAAATTATACGTGACATTTAATATGGGATAGAAGAAGTATAAAGTATGTACATACTTCTCAATATCATTTGCCTTCTGAAAATAACAGCAACAGCAACAACAACGGCAACAATACATTGTGTTGAATGCAGATGAAATTGAGCGACAGCATGTTTTGTCAGCGACGGTTCCACAAGAAGTCTGCATGTGCAGCAGGGTAATCATCGTTGATTGTGCAATCAACGTGGGTTCTCGATCTGAAATGAAGTGCTTCTCCCTAGTACTGTTGCACCTGTTGCATCAAAGGCGCATCTGCCAAAACACAGCACATGACCACGACAATCCGGCATACGTGCCAATGTCCACCAACGACGGACACAAGCCGAGGCCCGAAAGAAAATTGCACAGGCACATGCTGCCCAAGCTCCTGAGAGCAACAAAACTGGAGACGACTCCCCGATATATGCTTGACAAAACAAACTGCATCACTGCCTGGATGTGTGCGAGAGGATGCAATGATATGCATGTAATTTGATGACAATGACACGTGCTGCTGTGAGCACAAGATTGGGATCCTGGAGAAAACGAACCCAGAGAAGCCAATGGTTGGGCAAAAGCTGGACCTGGAAGACGGCCAAGAGCCCGACGAGCTCGATTGCGATATTGCGTCAGCAGCGGCATATTGTTTCCCTTCATATGAGGGAATACATTGCATGCTTTTCGCTGGGGGGCACATACCGATATCTAATCAAGATCAATCACTGACATCGCGTCGCTGCATACTAGACAGTGCTGCTGATTGTCAAGAAAAAATCTTCTCCATGCTCGATACATCCTGGCAAATCAACGCCGTTGCTGTTGACAGTATGTGCCTTATGTTCTTAAGGCGACAAAATATTTGCCACACTCATTGCTCTTGAGCTAATGCATATGGCCTGTACGATGCGATCGCACGCTTTGGGCTAATACAAATCTACTGAGATATATGGGGCTCTAAAAGCTCTTGATATGGAAACTCTGGTAGTATATTTGCTCCTTCCCACCTCAACCCCTTTAGTTGTGCTTTGTCCCGAATAGAAAACTTGTAGGTGCCGCTGAGACAGCTTTCAGGCACATTGTGCAGACACCACTCTTGTTCCAAACCTCACCAACATAAGGAACACCTATCAGACAGAATACGTAATAGTCTAATGATTGAGCAACTCAAGCAGCAGCATTGTTGTGAGTGTTGTTTCCGGGAACAACACAGTTTCTAGTGTGGAGGTGGCCTGTGATCTGCATTTGCACATCAGGACTGCATCTGTTTCACCATCCATGCCTGCATACAGCCGTGCCTGAATATGGGACCAACAAAATACTGACAAAAGGAAACAGGAATTTTCTCTTGCCTTGCAGCGCTTCTGAGGAATACCCAATGCTGTTGAAACCAGAAGAATGAAATGTGACAACATTTCAGCACGAATTCCATTTGGCCATAGCTTGCCCAGACCCTGGGCAAGGAATGTTGCCGGCTATCCTGAGACAAAATGTCATGAAAGAAGACGAACGCAAGCAACACCACGTCAACGCTGAAGTGCTCAGTGGGAGTGCGGCTGGCTGCCTGCACCATGGAACTGCCCATACCTGCTGCCTGTGATCCTGAATTGTGCATGGGAATGCCAAGCCACTCGCTGGCGGTGACGGCACCCGACAACATGCCCTTCTTGATGTGGCGGTCAAGCGCTAGTCCGCCGTCCGCCACGGTGCGCCTCCCATACTCAATGCACCTGTTGACGCAGTTGCCAACCGCGGCTCCCGCCTTCACGCCACTCCTGACCTTGCGGGCGACTGCCAGACCGCCGCTCACCACATATCGCCGCCCACGTTCGATGACCCTGTCGACGTCCCAGAGCATCCTGGCGGCCAGAAGCGAGCAAACGAAGTCAGAGATGGAACTGGAACTGCGCGTGAGGCTCTGCACTGAGGCAACCCTCCCCAACCCCATCTCGCGACCTCTTTGCATTCCCACCTGCCGCCATTAAAAAGTTTGCTCTGTAGCGACAGGCCATCCCATTCACAGTTAGCGCCAAGCTCCGGCCGGGCGGCGACGCACGGGGCCTCATACGCCCCAAGGCCGCCCAACGACTGTGAAGCATGAGATAGTTTCCAGGCCCGACGCTAAGGGACAGCACAGCCCCAATACAGCGCCGCCGATCGAGTAGAAACCGCAGCGGAGCCGCCAAAGCGTGCGGCGTGGCCTGTTCCCGCCGGGGAGCAGCGCGCCGGAGAGCCATGCCGCCCGCGACGCCACGTCAGGTTCTCGATCCCGCCTGGGTTGACTACACCTCGCGCGGAAGACCCCAGCGACCTTGCCGAAGCGCGGGCCTGACCCAATCGCAACCGCAATGGGAGAGGCCGCAAAGGCAGAGATCTCGGCTCTTCGCCAGCCGAGAGGGCAGGCGTCTCACTCTGAACCCGCCGCGTCGCGCCGTCGCCCTCAGAAAAGTGTGGCGGCTCCTCCCCCGCTCGGGTTCGGCTGCAGATGCACGTTGAGCGGCCCCGGCCCTTGGGAGAGCGCGGTGCCGGCCACGCTCGCCGCGAGGGCGCAAAGGCGGAGTCGTCCGCAGCTGGACGTCCGCAGGGCGACGGGCCCCAGGGTGGCAGCACCTCGCGCCGCGGGCGGCCCCACACTATTTATGTGGGCGCGTACATGCGCCATGTCATGTGTGGTAGGTTTCGCCCCAGGGGGAGGCATGGGGCCGCAAGTGTGATCAGGCAGCTGCCGCGTGACGGGACGTGTCGCCGGCGGATTGCTTGGCGTGTCCGGGCTCTGGAACGAGCCGGAACCACATGGGGTTTGCTGCTGGCGTTTGGTCCAGGGCAGGACACATCAGCGTCGGGGCGGCGCCGTGCTGCAGCCACGTGGGTTCAGTGGCCAGGCAGCGACTGACACTGTGCAGAAAGTGACACTGATGAGCGGGCTTTGTGGGCAGTCGGCTAAGCGGCCCGATCGACGCAATCTTCAGGGGCCATCACGTGGTGGCGGCCGCTTGGGGGGCAGCATGTGGCGGCAGCGGTGGACTGCGGGGTAGCAGTGGCCATAAAGTACCCGTACATTGGGCTGTAAATTGTTCACTTCAGTGCTTTGAGCAATCCCACATTCTCATTTGCCTGATCGTACACTGTGATAATTGAAGTATCCCGCATGGCATCCCAAATGCTTCTCTACGAATTTTAAGGTCCGGCTTTACCTTAGGGAAGACACTATGTCAATTTTGTTATGCTTAGCATCAATTTGACGCTGAAGGGGTGGGGTGGGGTGGGGTCTGGACCTGCAGTGCTAAGAGATTAAGCAATTGCAAAAAGATCGATATGTGGTGGAAAGAAGACTGAAAACGCTGCTAATCAGCATGAAAACACTCATGACCTGTTCTTAAACCTCCGTGAAATGTTCAGTCTTCAAGGCAATCTTTAGAATGCGTCAATTTACAACATCAAGGTTGCCCACTTTGCCTATAATGACAATTGTGAGGGCGAGGGAGTGGTTAATACAAGGTCGAAGCCTTGCACATTGCATGCATGGTGCTCCTATGGGGTAGCCCACCCAAGTGACCGGTGATGGACATTTGCAATTTGCAGAATTAAAGAAGTAGTTGCCAAGCATGGTTACCGACAAATTCATCACAAGTGTTGCACATTTGAGCACCGCTAATATACCTTGGGAGCTGCATTATTAGTAGTATTGCATGCGAAAACTAAAGAGCACATATGTCCCCTAGGATTTCTGATACAACCAGAATCATGTTGTGATGTGTGCATTGTGTCATGCATATGACGAGATGTTATGTCACTCCACCACATGCTATTGTTGCCACTTAGCTAAGCACGATGTGTCACTTTATGGTAAATTGCTCAAATCATGAAAATCAGAGTTGCATGTTTTGTCTCACATCGACAACATTTCCTGCATCGTACATCCATTCCATGCTGCTATTGTATGCCATAAGGCTGGACATGAACGCACGCTGCACATATGGGGTACTTTGATTAACCTCACAGCACAGCATTGTGTAGTCAGCCGGACTACCCACAGGCCCCTGTGAGGCCTGCGAGGCACCACAAGTGTATATTATGCCGGTGCCAAAGTGGAAATGGTCTTGAGGCCTTGAAAGGGAGCTAAATGGGAACGAGTTGGAAATGAGTTCAACATGTTCACTCATGATGAAGCACAATCACTAGGATTCACTGTTTTTAAGATCAAGACAAATACACTAGTGAGTGCACGAATTGATGCACTAATTAGTGCAAATACTTGTGCACCGATTGTGCGAAGTGGCTGAGCATGGGGTCAAATCTGGCGATTTGCAAAATCTGCATTTGGCCTATCTACCCACCTGAAGGATCGAGTTGATCCTTGTGCGCCAAATGGCCGGCAGCCTCTGGGAGGAGCATGCGAGACTTTGGTAGGCAATGATCGCCTCGATCCTCAAGATGGGCAGATGGGCCAGCGGTCCTCTAGCACCCCCCTTGCCCTCGGCTTCCACCCCCCTTGCCGCCCTACCCTACAGCGCCCTGAGCGGTTGTGCGACGGGTCATGGCTGCTTTTATGCGCCAAGTTGCTTCTTAGGATCGCCATCGTACCCACAAGCACAAACCCGTAGAACTTCTCCATCTGGTCCTCCCTACATGGCCATGGCGACCCCAATTCCAAGCAAGCCGCCTTGCCCATAGATGGGCTCCCAGAACTTTTGGTACAATGGGAATGGGGATGGTATCTGTTTTTTTTAATTCCCATTCCATTTCCTTCCTGTTCCCAACCCGTTCCGGCAGGGATTATCATGTGGCAGAGCACTATGACTGCCTCGGCTGACTCACCCAACCTCCACCCATTTACTTCCACTCGGCCTTTCACGGCTGACCGACTCACCCTCATACCCCGCCCTTGCCGCACCTCGCTGCCTTGTTGCCTTGCCACACAACTGAACCCCGGGTGGTTGGATTGGGCAACTCTTTGACAAAGGGATAGCGCCTTGTGGGTGCCCGATCTTGCTAGCTGCAGAGGCCAATCGAGGCCCCCACGGGTGGTCACATTGGGCACACAGAAGGCGTTGTTTTATTGGTGAAAAGTGGCGCCTCACGGGCGCTGGATCCCGCCAGCCATGGGGGCCAAGCGAGGCACTTTAAGAGGATGCTAGCAATGGGGCGAATGCAAGGGCACTGGCTCCACGAGCTCATAGCTGCCCCCCCAAACCCCACCCCGTCTCCACGCAGAGGCCTCCGCAGTCGGGGTGGGGTTGTCAGCGGCAGTGGCATTCTCGCATGCAAGAATCAAACCCCAGATGTGGTGTAAAGCAAAGGGGGTAATGTGTTTCCTTGGTTATGGGTATCTAGGATATATAATAAATATTAATAAATAATTTCATCTTTTAGTTGAGCTTACTAGAAACCCATAGGTTCTTGAATCAGACCATTCGGATTAGCGGTAGTGGAGATATAGCTATTAGAAGTTTTAGTACTTAAGAACCCCTCCGTAACCGTATTAGGGGATGAGATATTATCGATACGGTGATGTTGGTCACATTATCACGTGACACAGGGCACGCCAAAGGGTGACCCCCCTGCCCGACGGATTGTAACTCTTGCTGTCCACTCGCCTCCGCGCGGCTGCACCTGCGAGTTGCACTGGCGTCGCGCACTCACTGCGCGCACTGCCGCCCCGCGCCCGGCCGATTGCAAGACTGGGCCCACACTGCGCACCCCGAAGGAACGAGTGCCCCGGATTGCCCGCCGGTCATCTGGTGGAGGAGGCCATTCCGGCCGGATTGGGCACTGCAGCGAGCACATCGCCCGCACATCGAGCCGAAAACCATGCCACCAGACAGGTTCCCTCCATTTCCCCCCTCACGTGCCACCCACCATGTCGGGCCAAGTGGCGACTGCACAAGGCCCTACGCCCCGACTGCGCCCTCTCGCGCACAATCCCCTAGCCCACCCAAACGATTTGGAGTGGCACGCACACTTTGCTGTTGCGGGACTTTGACACCAAGCTTTGCCGCCATCTATTTGGCAGCCATGGTGAACATGGTTTTGCAGGCATGGCCCCCATCAGGCCCCAGCCGCTCCTCCACATGCGTGACGCGGGCATGGAGGACGGCCTTGGGAGAGCTCCTTCCCAAGGTTGCAAAGCCTGTGCTGCGCCCACTCATGCCAACCACGGCTATGTTGATTGGCAACCAGGAGTGGCTAATTGGCCCAGGAGGCGGGTGGGCTGATCAAGGCCTGTCGATGTTGTTGGGAATGAACGCCCACTTCTGCCACCTGTGGGCACACATGTCATGGGCGAGTTGAGGCCCACAACCTATTCTGCCGTTATGCTTTTGAGCGCCTACCAAACATGACAATTGACAGATGGCCAACTTTGCTAAGGCCCCAACACACCACCCTATGCCCACATGCATTTCGGTCATTGCAAGCCTCATAGGACTATCGCCCATGACAAGTTCCTTGGCTTGACAGTATGGCCCTTCATTGGCGCGGGCGTAGCCAACCATTTGCGGTCGCATGTTTCCCATGGGTTTGGAATAACCCAGAGGCGCAAACGCCCGGCCGCAGTGCTTTATTCAATATTATGATTGAGTTATGGGAAATATTATTCTAGTAAAGGGCCGGGTTAATATAATATGTGATATATGGTGTTTCTATAGTAAAAAGCAAATGTGGTGAGCATGGTGTTATGGTGAATGCACATGGAGACAATGGAGATGGGAGACGGACATTATTGCAATGACTGTTATTTAGCTAGTATGATTATCTTATAATGCATACGGTTGCTATTTGGTTTCCGTGCCTGGGAGCAACCATGTGCAAGCGTGCACAAGAGAACCCGGTTAACCTGATATGGTTCAGAGCCGGGAG